GGCAGCAACAGACTCAGAACCTCTCCAGCTCTGATTTTCATCTCTTCAGCATTCAACCCCATTCTGTAAATTTTACATAACCTTCTCTTCTCCATGTCTTCAGAGGAGTCCTCTCACCTTGTCCAATTGCATCCACATTCGTTCTGTCATTTCTTCTTTTACTTCCTTTTCTGCCTGCTAATGTTTTATTCTACTTATCACACCATGGCGCTTTACAACACAATCAGTCATTCACCCATCCACACGATGGTGGGGATGAGCTATGATGTAGCCATAGCTGCCCTGGTGCGCACAGATGGAAGCAAGCCTGGTAAACACTGGTGCCGCCGGTCCCTCTGACCACTACCAGCAGGCAAGGTGGTTAAGCAGTGTTTCCCCTAGGAATTTTTCCAGCTGGGGTGGGGGTGGGGGGGGGGGGGGGGGGGGGGGTGGCTTGGGGAGAAATTATGACACGTCTCTAAATAAAGTAAAATGTTCTAGTGCAGAGAGGAGACAACCCAGAGAAGCACTGATTTGATCTCATTTCAGAGAATAATAGAACAGGTTAGATGCACCTAATAAATAAAATGACTAACAAACTCAGGCATCTGTTTCTTTGCTTCATTGTTCTGGTGCTGAAAACATCACTAATGCGGATCGAAGTAGATGCACAGATAAATGTACCTCTTCTTTATTATTTGGAAACTACATTTACTGCAGCTGGCAGAGGCAGAGATTTTTTCTATTGATACACTAATTTACAGAATCATTTTAAATTGTAATAGGGGAAGACTGCAGGAGGGAGCGGTAAAATACAGGGGGTCCCTAGCAAAAACAAGAAACTTTACGAGTCTGATTAAACCCACTGGTTTTCCATCAGGCAGTCACGGGGCAGCTCCAACGACCCAGTGGCTGTGCTGGGTCAGTTATCGAGCTCAGTCCGGCTCGGCAGAGGGTGAACGAGCCGAGGCGACGTCGTGCTCTGCTTAACCCCCAGAGACCCACGGTTGTAAAATTACAACATCAGATTTAAGACTACAAAAATAAAACTTCCCCATTTTTTTTCTTTTTAAAACCACATTTACATTGCTAATAGGTCCTATTGTTCAGTTCTGCAACACTATTGGCTGTTAAAATGTGTAAATAGGCCCGTTTATCTGGCCTCCTAGAACAACATGTGAAAGGTTAAAAAAAGATTTTGCAGTTGTTTTCTAAATTTGGGTATCTGGGGGTTAAGAAGAGGTGTTATTTTCCCGCTTCAGAAGAAGCGTCCAACGTGTTTTTACGCTTTCTCTGAGACATGTCACGTCGCTAAGTTGTTAGTGCCGCACGCTAACACGTTAATAGTGCAGCGTAGCCTGCTGGAGGTTTTAAGGACTCAGATGAAACACCCGACCTCTCAGGCTGCTCACACATCAATCTTAAATTGTCGCTGTTGCGCTCACGCCGTAATAAAGTATTAGATGCGGTTAAAGTCAGACACGTAAAACTAAATAAATGTTACATGAATAAGTGATGCTTAGCCTGGTGGTGGGAGGAAAACCTGGCCTAGTAAGCCCTGGAGGAAACCCTAAGATCATCAACACTCGTTTATCTTAATGCCATTGAAACATGTAAACCACAAAGCATTATATCCACTTCTACCTTTCTAATTTTAAACTCAGTAGCTTATGCTGAAACTTCACCTTTCCCTGCCGGCTGTGATCACAAGCGACAACATAGTAGTTCCCGCTGCTTCTTCGGGAAACTGCGCAAAAATAAATAAATAAATAAAACTTGGGATCTCGTAGGCGTGGCGGTGGGATTTCAGCCATGGCGGCCCGCCACGGCTACGTCTATGTAAGGGAAACCCTGTTAAGTGTCTTGCTCAAGGGCACAAGAGCAGCATTCCCTGGTGGGAGCTGGGATAGAACCTGAAATATTCTGATTGCTGGACAACTGGCCCTACCTCTTGAGCTACTGCTGTCCATGATGCACATGAATGTGTGGCTGAGTTTTGGAACCAAGCTAATTCAAGATGGCCACCACAGCTAACTAACCCAAGCAAGCAGAAACATGGCTATGACTCATCCGAATGTCTGTGAGAGCCATCAGCACTGATGATAGACTGTGATGTAGCCACACTTTATCTTAAATAACTGACTAAAGTGGCTAAAACCACCAATACTCAAGATTAAAGCTACGTTGGGCAGTCTGCAAAAAGCTAGCATAAAATGTTTGTCTTGTCAGTCTTACCAAAGGTCTAACATAGTATAGCTACAAATGTATTATGGAGACAGAAAAAAAGAAAAGCAGTGATTCTCTCGCCATTGTCTAAAAACCTCAGCCATATAGAATGGCTCAGTCCGGAACCAGCTATTGGACCACCCGGTTGTCTGCCTCATGGAACCACTACACTTCCCTGGGTCCTCCACTCCTTATACACTTGTGTACTTAGCAACAAAACACCACTGGTGTGAGAGGTTCTACACTCAATATTAATCGAGAAGGAGAAAGAGCCGGCTGCTACCACTTCAACTTTAGGACAAACTAGCAGATCCCAAAGAGGAAACCACCATTTTAAGTCAGGGACAACAAAAGACGTTCTGCTGTGTTCTCTGGAATGCTGCTGTTGTGTCCTTGGGCGAGACAACCTGTCTTGCCTGCTGGAGGTGGTCGGAGGAACCGGTGCCTACATCGTAGCTCATCCACACCAGTGTGTGAATGTGTGTGCGAATGACTGATTGTGTTGTGAAGTGCCTTGAGGGGTTGTAGAACCCTAAGAGGCGCTATCCAAATGCAGGCTGTTTATTGAGATTCTGACACTCTTGGATTTTCCTCTGCAATTTGGACCTTCTAGTTCCACTAGTTCATATTTCTTCTACATTTTCTTCTTCGTCAATGACTTGAAAAAAGAAGAAAGATGCATCCCTACAATTTAGATGAAACTGGACTAAACCATCCTCTTTAAATTGCAGCACATACGCAAATAGTTTAACAATCAATTTGACTCTTCAGAAGAACCTACAGAGTGAGGCTGATATTATCTCCGGGGATAGATTTCTCATTTCAGGATGAAACTGCTCATTCAGTGAGTTAGTGGACAAGAAAATATAGCTCAGTCTATTTGAAACCACTTAGCAAGCACACCATCCCCTCGTCAGATATCTCAGATCTATTCTGCCACGCCTCGCTGATTTCATCCTTCATCTGATATAAAAAAAACCTTTATTTTCTGTGTGTTTTACAAGAAAAAAAGCTTTTTCTTCCCAATATGCTGGGTGAAAGGAAGTCAGTAAATTAACATCAGCACCTCCACACAATGTTTCAATCTCAGGTATTGCAAAAGAGAAGGACCGGAAATGCTAGAAAACACTGTGCAGGAGCGTTACTGTTACTGGTTTGTTTACTGATGGCTTTCATCCCTCGTGTATTTTTACTTTCCATCAAATGTGGCATGAAATGTTTCAAATCTATAAAATTTTGGCGAATTATGTCTCTGAGACATCCAAAAGACCTTCGATTGGTTTTACTACAGTACTTTTAAATAAAGATCAATTCATATAAACCAGTGGTGTCCAACCCTGGTCCTAGAGATCTATATCCAGCATGTTTTAGTTGTTTCCCTGCTCCAACACACCTGATTCAATGGTTCAATCACCAGTTCATCATGTCGCCAAGCTCTGCAGAAGATTGTTAATCACCTATTGGTTAATGTAAGCTGGATAGGGCCCTTGAGGACCAGGATTGGATACAATGGAGAACGCTTCTACCATATCCTTCATTAAACCAGTAAACATCAACAGATGAACCACACACTGATGCGGCATGTCATGAAGAAGAGCAGCTAACTCAAGTTATTGTGTTCCACTCTAAACCAGCGGCTGCTAATGCTTCAAAACAGGCAGTCGGACCTCTTATGACTGAGTTCACCATTTAGAAAATAAGGCAGTAAGAGTGTTGCTTTAAAACTTTAATCAGGCCGAAGCAAATAATCCGAATCACCCGAATACCCCCAATTTGTAGGAAAAAAAATGCCGAGTGCCTAGTGGTGTTATGCGTGATAGACGGCAGCGGGGCTCTTACTAAAAGCTGTAAATGACTGGCATTGTGGGAAATGTCGGGTCAGGCTTGAAAAGGCTCAATTTGTGCCGCAGCGTTGGAAATCAAGAGTGCCTATCACAGGTCTGAACAGGCAGCTGAGAGTTGGTCTCCAAGTGGAGAGGCTGGTGCTGCATAAAGGTGTGTGTGTGTGTGGGGGGGGGGGGGGGGGGGGTGACACACACACAGAGGGCACTCACAGCTGCATAGAAAAAAAACATTATTCTTCAAGCAGAGGTTGTTCAGACCTTAGGAGGATGTTTTCCGTGGAAATGTCATGAACATGTATTTTACCTATTATCAAAAGCCCTCCCACCTGACTGGTCAAATGTAATTCTGTCATCTTAGAACCTTTTGTCTCGGCTGTTGCTGGGATGAGGCTGCAGCAGCAGCCCTGTCCTCCATCCAGCTGCTACTGCCAGCTCCTTAAGTGGGACATATGTAATCCCTCTGTGTCCTCGGGTGGCCTCTGTTCTCTTCCCAGGAGGATTTTCCCCAAACACCTTCCATGGCTTAAGTCCACCTTAAACACATGACTGAACCACATCAGCCTCCTCCTCACGCTACCTCCAAGGCTAAGCCCAGGACAGAGGACACTCATGTTGGCCACCTGTACTCACAGTCTTGTTATGTTAGAAAAAAACTTGTCTGGCTGAAAATTTGAAAATGTTCTAATTTCCAGCAACGCAAACATGTTTTAAACATGTTCAAACACTTTTTTTTTTGTTTGTTGAGCTTTGTTTTTTTTAGCAACTACAGCCCAAAGACATTGTAGCTTAAACAGTCCACACCCCCTGGTTCACCCCGAGGGTCAGCTGTAAACCCAAGCTGTGAGAGATTCATAAAACCGAGTTGGATGTTCTGGTCACAGCTGATATTTGTTAAGTTTTTATGACTTCCATCAAATGCCAGTTTTAAAGACCAGAAACATTTCATCTTACCTGCAGAATCTTGCACCGCTCCGAGTCACAGTTGATATCCTCGCAGGGATGAAACATGCCCAGAGTCACACAGTTCAGCAGGATCACCAACATGGATGCTCGTTCGAACCACGTGCAGAGGAAGAGTTAAGGAAGACACCACAGGAAGGCAACGACAAGCAAACAAAAGGTACATCCCCTCAGTGACCTCATCATCCCAGCCTCACCTAACAGTAATGGCACTCTGTCCAATTTACTGTCAGATCCTGCACTCGAGAAGGAAATGAGAAAGGGAACCTCACGTGTGGATATCTTAAGATGCATGCACACACATTCTCGTCTAGCATTAATTGTGAGGACATTCATTGACTTCCATTCATTTTAGTGACTTGATTGTGCCTAACCCTAACCAGTCTACTCCTAACCCTACCCTCAGCTGAAACCTAATTCACACCATACATCTAAAACTAGTGAGTAGATCTCTGTATTATTGTACCAAAGTGAGGACCAGCTAAATGTCCTCAGTTTGCAGGTAGCTTGTCATTGTCCTCTTTTTGACGTATAGACAAGTACACACACACACACACACATAATAAATAAATAATTTTAGTATCAAGATAGCAGTGATGGGAGTTAACGATTTCACCTTTATTTAAAATTTATGCTCCATCTCCAGGTGGTAGAGACTAGGGATGTCGAAACCAGCACTGAAACCGTATCGGTTTAGAAAAAAGCGGTATTGTTATATCCCTTGTAGAGACCTTTAGTCTAAAAGTGCTACGCAGTGACCGTTCTGAATTAAAGTGGATCTCAGTGAACTTGCACAAATATCAAAAGGACTTTATTCTTTCACAAGAGGCTGAGCTTCAGCACCAAACTCTGGATGGGTACTGAATATTAGATGAGTCTAGAAGGAACCTCAGCAGCACCAGCTGGCTAGTGACAACACGATGTGAAGGGCAGAATGTCGCACATGGACAGGCCCACGGAACGTTCTGTCAGTCCAAGGGGACGCAATTCAAACAGATCAGTCAGTGCGGCAAAAAGAGATAATTAAACAGGATTTAAAAGAAATATTCACAGGGGCCAAGTTTCAGAACGCTGGCATTGAAAGATGACACAGTGGTAGATGCCTGCAGTGGTTGACAGGAAGGGGGGGGGGGGGGGGGGGGGGGGGGGGTTGGCGGTTGTTAAAAATACAGTGCTGCATTATTCATCAGTGTGAAACACTTCAAACTACCAGTGTTCATGAGGTAAAAGTGTGTCAGGAGTTCAACTAAACTTTATTGTATCATTAAACCAATCAGACTCCAGGCATGACAAACACATTAAAGGAGCAATGTGTTCCCACGACAGTGTGACTGAGCTCAGGTGACACGAGTTCCACCAGGAACGTTTCTGTGCAGCAGAAATGAGAAAAGCAAGCTGCACTCTTAAAACAGCTTTACAGATCGGTGTTTGTAAAAGTGAATTGGCCTGAGAACAGAGCGGTTTACACCCGGAGTTCAACTTTTATAGCAAACCCAAAAGAGCCCAAACACATGCCCCCTGCTGAGTGCAGGACAGATACAGAGCTGCAGCAACATTTCTGCACTCACCAAGCTACAGGGAAGATATTTCATTTGCAACTAAATTCTGAAACAATTGTGAGCTTTAACAAAGTTTTAAAGTGCTAAAGTAAAAAGGAAAATAAATGATCACGATTATTTTGTGAGTGCCTGTTGGTTGAAAAAAGAAATTTTTTTTTTTTTTTACAAAATAAATATTTTATATAACCCTTTAGGCCCTAGGCCTTTTTTCTTTGGGCCCTGGCGCCTCCCAACTGGGGGCCTTTGGAGTTTAATGTCCTAAGTGTCAGTGATTGTTTGCATTACCCGAGCACAGCTGCAGCTCTAATCAACTGTTTAGATTGTAAACAAAGCAATTTTTGGTTTTTGATACATTAAGATAAAATAATGCTTAAACTTTATTTTAGAAGAGCTGCCCTGTGTGAAAGTGCTGATAGGATGGAGGTTGTGAGTTCAAATTCCATTTAGGAAATTGTAGCATCATGAATGGCCTCTAATTTGTGACAAAGGTCACATTTTCCCAGCTGGGCCAAGCTGGCTCGAGTTGTAACTTTGCCCCACAGATTAACCGCCAGGAGCCGTGATGTCTGCTGAAACAACATCTTTATCTGCTGGATGAAGGACACTTCAAGATTTCAAAATAATAATTTCAATAAACTCTTTGACTTTATTATGGTTTATTACAATCCTCATATTAATCATCTGGTTCAGTATAAATGTATTTTAATTACTGAAATGACTTATTATGCTTTGGGTATAATAATAATTATAGTTGATGAGCCGTAATGTGTGTTCAGTAAACCAGAAGGTCATCTTGCACGTTTAACCACCTCACGCAGAGGGTATCCAGGGTAAAATTAAACCATCTCACATGTCTTTATTCATGACAACAAGCTTTCTGATGCTGAGAGGGCATGTTCTGAGGTTTTGTTAAAACCAAATCTCAGCAGCTGTAAGTTCAGTTCTTGAACTATACCAGGAGACGAGGGACGGCGGCCCAAGTCTCTACTAATCATTCTGTCACGCCGATAATCTTGCTTCGAATAAACGCAACTGTAACCAGCTGACGTAAAACTCCTTCAGAGTTGAGCCGGACGCTCGACACCGTGTACCTGCAACATCTCTGGACCAGAGAGTCGGTTCCACTCGAGTCTTCTCTACCAGACCGAGTACCCCTGAGGCTGACTACATCCTCCTTGACCTCCGGATCCATACAGAGGGTCGCCTTGCTGGATGAGGTAGCACACAGATGGTGTCTGATGCTGTTTTCTCTAAAACCAACTGAGTTACCTGCCAAACAACTTTCCACCCATAACGCTTCTCTCGTTGAAAGAAACCTTCTGAGATTCATCCACGCATCCAAAAACCTCGCATTTCATTTTAGTTTCCATTCAGTGACAGGTTTGCTTTTAAAAACAAGTTTTCATATCAAAGCTGTTAAAAAACTTTCATTTCAAATTGCCATTTTTAAAAGTGTTAGTAATAAATTCTTAACTTTTAAAAACTGACTCTTCTCTGAAATGAAACACAGAATGGTGTATATTTTTCGTTATTGAATAAGCAAAGATTCCTTTACACTTCTGATTCAATAAATAAACTTTTGCTATTAAATTTAATTATCTTAAATTAAACATTAATCTTTGGATTAAAAATAGACTAAGCTCGTTGGCATATGAACTTCTATCAAATATATAATATCCTAGATATTTATATATGATAGAAGCTTCATTTGTTAACTTGTTTGGATCTTTTCTCAGGATCTAACCAAACTGATAGCAAACAGTGTTAAATCCTAGTATGTAGTTAACCATGCTACAAAATTTAGTCAACTGCTGTATTTATTCCATGGGTCCTCAACTAAATTTGTTCAAGTTTTATTTTTCCAGCAGACACCAGTGAAGGTCAGATGCTCTTCTAAAATTAAGCTCAAATATCATTGTATCTTAATTCATTACAATTTAAAATGGCCTTGTTTCCCATCTGGGCTGTTTGATTGTGGTTTTAGTTGTGTTTGGAGAATGTGGACAGTTGTAGATGTTTGGGACATGAAACTGTGGAGGCCCCCTATTGGGGGCATTAGGGTTAAACAGGTTAAAGTGAATTTTAGGGTCTCGGTCATTGAGAAAATGGCTTCTTGTTTTTGAAGTACGATCGACCAGATTGTGAGACATGGAACAGCTAGGTGATCTGGTGTATTTTAAAGTAAAATCTGCGTTGCATTGTTTTATTTGGATTTTCTTTGGATTTATTAATGACAGTTCTCAGTGTATGACAAGACAAAAAGATGGGCGTGGCTTTAGTTTTGTTTACCAGCTCCTCTCGATTCACATAGGTGTTACTGAGTCTGTTGATGGGTTCAACAGACTGTCTGCATGGTGTTCAGTAAACAACCTCCAACTGAACACCACAAAACCCAAATAACTTATCTTGGATTTCAGAAAGGGCAGAACTGAAACGGCCCCACTTTACAGTCATGGGGACTGAGTGGAGAGGGTACTCCATGAGGTGTCTGAGCACGCAGATCTCATGATCTCTCCTGGACTGCAAATACCACGGCGGAAGTAAAAAAAAAAAAAAAAAGGCCCAGCAGCGTCTCCACTTTCTGGGAGTGCTAAGGTGGAATGACCTAGAGGACAGGCTGCTGGTCACATTCTAAGGAGCCACCATAGATTGCATCCTAGCGTACGGCATCACAACATGGTAATCAGAATGCTATACTGCAGACAGGAAAGTACTGCAGAGGGTCATCAACACAGCCCAGAAGATCACAGGCTGCTCTCTGTCAAGCCTGGAGGACATTGCCAACTCTCGCTACCTCAGTAGAGCAGGCAATGTCATCAACGACTATTCTCACCCCAATAACCATCTGTTTGACCTGCTACCAAGCTTGCAAGCAAATGTCTGGAGACATTCCACACAAGACCCAATCTGGTGTGACTAGCAGTCTGTCCATAAGCCACACGTCCGGATCGAATCCGCTCTGCATTCGGTGTGAAAGAGGGGTGGTCAGTATCAGCAGAGGGGAGGCCCACGGTTCGTTTCGCTGCCGTGCATCTTCCATGTCAGTGAAGAATGTAGGACCGGCGGGTCGATGCTTAGCCTGGCGGGTGACCAAGCAAAGCCTGGTGGCCGCCAGGCTCATAAAGCGCTGGGGGAAATTGCCCTTTTTGCTCACATTCCTCTCACAAAACCAGCAGAAGTCACCTGAAGACATGGTAATTGCTGCGTGAGTGAATGAATGAAGGTTTAGCGAGTTGTTGTTGTCCAGACGTGCATGGTACACATCATTTGAGTTGTTATTATGATTGGCCAAAGACAAAATATAGTAGCCAGTGGCCATCCTCAAAGCAGCTCAAAATCTTCTACCAGATAGCCCTCCCTCTTTCAGACGGTTTCTGCTGCAGAGATTCAAGACTGAAATGTGTAGACTCGGCACAGGCGGGGCTACACTTAGAGATCTGGCTGCTGCCAGGTCAGTGTTCTTGATGTTTTAATTTTTTAAATAATTCCTGCCAGTATTTTTCCTTCAAACTTGTTAAGAAACAAGAGATTGCTTTTTTTTACT